CCCCCCCTCCACCTTCCTCGGTCCCTCCTCCCCTCGGCTAGACTCCCCACCCAGTTCAGGATTTATGGGATGTGTGTGGAGGGTTTCATGTTTCCTTGCAGCGATTGAGAAGCCTTACAGGAGGGGTATTAAGATCGGGTGGGGGGGCTACACTTCTTCCACACACACACCCCAACCCCTCCCTCTCTCACTATATTGTGCTGGAAGGACATGGAGGACCAAACAAATTTTTTGGCATGCATGGAGTCATGCAAGGGCACCGGCGGAGCTAGATTTGCTCTTTAGAAGAGAGTAAAGTTTACGACAGAGTGTGAAGTCGGAACATAATGATGTGTCAGGGATTAAAAAAGACGTGGGGGTGAGGAGGTGGGGGGTAAAACGGGGGGTGGAAAAGGGGCTGCTGTCAATGTGTGTGGTGTAAGAAAAAGTAAGAAGAGTAGTCCCAATGATTCTTGCAGAAGCTCAGCAGATGAAAGAAAATCTTTGCTGGGGAGAAAAAATGTGCGGAGCGATGCGATGGATACACACACATAACACATTTATTGTCTAGATTGAATATAAGTGCTCAGTATATATCATCAGCAGCTCTTACAGGATTATTGACATTGTCTGTGTCTGTCTGCACCAGTGTACATGCTATGACTACAAAACTGTCAACTCATCAACTGACAGCACCGTTTAGCGCTAATGCAAGTCTCCATCAGCTGTCAAAAGCATTTGCATGAAATCAATAGCAGATGGCGGTCTGTGTCACCAATTTCATTACGGCAGGGTTGTTACAAAGATCATCTCCATGATAGATGAGATGGCGACATGTCGACATGTGGAGATCATGCCTGAAGCTTGGACTGCAACTGCGGGAACATTTGGCCAAGTTTTAATGCAATTTTTGTTTAGTTTTTCAGTTCCTCCTTGTCTGGGCATGTAGTACTTTTGCATAAACTGTAAAGTAACTGTCGATGGAGTTGAGTTTAAACCGCGTTTTTACAGATTCAGGAGAGCCTACCCTCCAAATCACATTCATCATTATCCTTAGGTCTGCATTTACAGTAGGGCATCATTATCATTGGAAAGGCACATCAAACAGAACACCTCTCCCAACCTAGGTCCGCGTCCTGTACTGTACGTCTCTCCGGCTGTGTTCCCAGCATGCCTGGCGGGTTGTGTAGGCCCCAGCTGAGGCAGAGGACAGGAGAGCGTGATGTATCACCCTGAGAGAGCCCACTGACAGCCTCTGATGATGGATGGCCTGATTATGGAGTGCTTTTTACACATACACAATTTACATCACACTGAGCAGCGGGGTCTGGCAGGGCTGCCGTGCACGTACACTCTCTCAACCGGGCACGTGCACTAACGCACACACACACACACGCTCATGTGTGTACACATATACACATGTACGGGACTGCCAGAGTGCATAGATAAGAAGGGGGGTGGAAATAACAAAAGAAAAGGGGCAAATTTCCTTGCTACAGCCTTGTCATGTACGATCAATACGGCAGATCAATCCTTTATTAAGGAGAAGATGGCTTTCCCCCACATTCCAAAGCAGACCTTTGTCGTTTCGGGACACATGATGACATGTCAAATCAGATTTCCAGCAGTGTATGTTGTCGTGGCGTGGGGTTTATTCAGGTGTGTCTGGCCTATAGGGTTGAATACCACTGTATTCGTAGGGCTAGATCCTTGCTATCGATTAGCACCCTGCATTGTCCATGCTTGAACACATAATTGCTCCATTTGATCACGGTCGAGCTGGCAATTACTGTATTCAGGTTTTGGCACAAGCGGTGCATGTGTTCGATTGTACCTCTGAGCACACGAGTACTGTATGTATGCGTGAGTAGGCACGGGATGTACGCGAGCGTGTGTCTATAGGTTGTGTGTGAGGGGATGCTTGCATGGGTATTTAGACAAGAGGGAACAAAAGAAAGAGTGAGAAACATAAATGTTCGCTTTCCTGCCGTGACTCCCCGGCTTGTGCTTCAGTGGCCCTGCCTGCCTCTCTGTGTGTGTGTGTGTGTGTGTGTGTGAGTATATGTGTGTGTGTGGGGGGGTGTTCGCTTGCTTTCACATTCTCTGGTGTTCAGCAGGTTCAGCGAGCTGTGCGGTGTTAATGCTGAAATTACATGCTGAGTAATGAGTGATGGGCCAAATTACAGGCTGAACAATGAATAGAGGCAGGCAGCTCTTATTAGTCTCCATAGAAAGCCATTGATTTATGAAGCGCCTTGCTCGGCGGAGTTACTCTCCTGAAAATGATATCTACATTGAGAAGTGATGTTCTCTATTAAGTCGTTCCTTCCCCCTTTACACTGCTCTCCTCCTTTCTTCCCCTCCTCCCCCCCTCCGTCTCTCCCCTGCCCTCCCTCCCTGCCTTCCCTCGCCTTGTCCTGACTATGAGTGTACACATGATTGTTTAGAATCAGGCGGAGCTGTAAGGAAGCCTTCAATTACCCATTAGGACTGTCAGACATAAAACGCCCTGCTCTCACCAAAGTCTGGGTTATGATTCATTTACTTTGTGCCTCTGATTCATCGCCCAATATGCCTCATGCCCCAGATTACTATTTGAGGGGTGGGAGAGATTAATGGCTCCATGGGATCCGCTGCCGTATTTCACAGGCCCAGTGTTGCAGTACAGTAGGTGCAGAAGGGTGAAATGACAGCAACTTACACTAGATCAATGTGTGGACAGCCTTTCACAGATTATTAAAGCTCTGTTAGATTAAAAGACCCCCGCTATGTAGTTTGCTGTAGTCAATATTCTCAAGCAGATAAAAAGGGGGAGGGGTCTCTCGGAAGGATCCCTCAGACTGATGTAGGTCATCACGGCTGTTAATGGAATAGCACTTGGTGACACAAGTGTCAGAGGAACCTGTGTCATTTTCCATCGCTTGCCCCCGAGAGCCGCTGATGTTTCATAAAACATTGTTTCGCCCCTGAGGTTTCTATGAAATTAGGCATTCTGAAATGACTTTTGTACCGTAAACTCTAACAGATTTCTCAATTAGTTTTTCCCCGACTCTGGGAAAAAAAAATTAGCCCTGAAATTGTTTTAATTTTCATCTTCCCTTCTTTTTTTTTTTTTTTCTTGCAGCCCTGAATGAGCCAACCATCGACTATGGTTTCCAGAGGCTGCAGAAGGTCATCCCCAGACACCCCGGCGATCCTGAGAGGTTACCAAAGGTCAGTACAGTGTTTCTGCAGTGACACGGAGCTGTCTGGGTAATGATGTCTTAATACGACCGACTGTGACGAATAAACAAAACAACATTACCATCAACGCAGACCACTGTGACCCTAAACACTAACAGCTTTGCTTCACATATGTGGCTTACCCACTAACCAGTGTGGTAATGGTATTGGTTTTGTGTGTGGAGAGAGGCGTAAACTCTCTGTGTGGTAAAATAGCTCAATCAGGCGTTTTCCTCTCCAGTAGTCTGTGGAGATGGTAATCTGGTCAGAAACGACGTCTGCACCCTCATTACCCCACTCATGTTTTCCTTTCATTTTCTGCAGCTCGATTTGGTTTAATCTTTTGTTTACAGAACCCTGTGCCGTAAACCCCCTAGTCTTACTGCAGCTAATAGACAAAGACTGCATGTTATTATGCTTTGGCTTTCTTATTGTTTTCTTTTGAACCTGGGTGAAGGAGTTGAAAGCCACATCAGTTTTAGATACACTGGTGTGGCACACAAATAGGCTGCCACGCTGAAAGACCTGAGAAGGTGCACATGTTGTTTTTTTATTTTAATTTCCCCTCCCCTGCAGAATCTCTTTGATTCTTTTATTCTTTTCCCTCCCCTTTGATTCTCTTACTCTTTCCATTTCCGATTGATAAAATCTATCTGTGTGTTTTCACTAATTGCCACCCTGCCAGTAACCATTTTGATGACTGACGTTCCAGATGTGTCAAGTGTAATAATATGACTGATTAGTACATTCAAAAGCCCTCGGCATGTAGTAAAGTGGAGGCCACCTCAGAGTTTTAATAATACTGTAAAACCTTTAAAGACCTTATCTATTAAATCCCAGCATGCAACACAGCAATATCATTAATGTCCAACGGACAATTTAATAAAGAACAGACTGTGTGGTAGCTATAGACGTTTGACCAAGGCAATGTGGAGAAATGGAACATCACAGCTAGTCCCTGGTTCAGTATATGAAGTGTTTCAATTAGACTCGGTCCCTGTGGAGACAGGAAACAACACCTAGACATGAAATGTTACTCTAATTTCAACTGTAAACGTTAGACCAAAAGGTAAAGTACACTTACCTTTAATATCCACATGACTTGCTCTATCTCCGCAGGCGTCACCGGTCAATCTAGAACCGCTGTTTCTATTTTATAAAGCCACACAGTGTCTTTGTGAAATCCACGTCTTTTGAACAAAGAGAGCAACAATGTTAAACAGCTTTATTACAGAGAAACCTTTACTTCTTTCCGTGAATACAAAGCATTGTTGGCTGTGAGACAGATTTTGACACTGAACCCGAGATTAGTTTCCTGGGTGTGCGTACACTTAATATAGCACGGTCTCCCGGCCTTTGCATGAAACAATCACAGAGTGAGATGAAACCGTGCACTTCCAATAAACAACATAAATATTTGATTTGCTCTCTAATGGACCCAAATATGGGGTTCAGGGGGCATGTAAATGATCCCACCAAGTGATTCGTCATTGTTAAGCCTGCCATCTGAGGGTCAGCTCTCGGGGTCAAAAGCACATTCCCAATAAAACAGCCTGCGGCGGGCTGAGGCTGGCATGTACATTTGGAATGAGAACAGAAACGGCATATAGAGAACAGCCATTACAGGGTGCAGGTGAGGTAGGGAGACTCTATAAAAAGAAGATAAAGCTGGAGGACGCACAGTGTGCATTAGCAGAAAGGCAAATCGACACCAGGCCCACTCACCGCCTCTACCCCCCCACCCCCCTCTCCTCCCTTTCCCTCCCCTCCCATGACTTCACCCTCCAGTTGATAATATTACTGCGCTATTGATTTCCACCAGCCTTCTCCCTGGGACCAGTAAGACACGTGGTAATTGTAAGGAGACAGAAAGCCAATATGGGAGTGCTCATGGATAGCAAGGGATGCACGCTAATATTGTTGCTACACAGAGAAAAAAAGGGGGGAAGCTGCCTCTGATTGAAGTTTACCTCGTAATTCTAAGACAACATCGTAGATGACAGTCTGACCCTGTGGGAGGAGCGGAGATATAAAAATTCAATGCAAAGTCCAGGGTGAATATGAAAGTAATAAGTGTGAGCAGTCAAGTGATGAGAAAGGAGATTGGTTTGCGGGCATCGCGTTAAGTGAAGAGAGACTTTGGAATTCACCCTCCTTTTTAAGATCTTGTTATAAAACAATTTTCTATTCATAATATAAAAAAGACAATTTATAATACCATTTTGTGCCCTCTGGCAGTAATGGACAAATAGACTGGATATCACATTATATCACACTCAATTTCTCTCTTCTGTAACAAATTAGATTCATTATGAAATTAAAAGTGGAAACTCAATATTGTTTTATTATTAAGCTGATTGCTTTGGATTCTTTTCTTTCCTCCCAAAATGAGCATAAGCCCATTCTTTTCCAATTCTTTGTGTAATCCACAAGGAGAAAATATTACAAATGTGTTCATGTCAAGCAATTACCCATGTATTTAAATGAATCTCTCTTCCTGTGCTCTTTGAAGTACCTTCATCTAATGGCCCTATGCTTCTAAATGCATTCATTACCTCAGGCTAGAGCTAACAGAGTAATTGCCTTACAGTTTTATAATGGCATTAGCACTCCAAGCTACATAACCTAGGCCCTCTTTTATTAACTGTGATAATATAAATACAACATCCATGTTAATCTAGTGCTTGAAGAATCACGTTTGGGCTGTTTTAGACCACATCTCCTCATTGTTAGATGTTTTTTTATAACACATCATTTGTTTCGGCTTCCTCTAAATTTTTATTTTTTTGCCCCCCCCTCTCTCTCTCTCCTCAGCAATAACATAAAGCAGCTTCTAAATCTTAGGTGATCTGTCATCTGAGCGGCTCCGTTTAAACAGTTGCGGAACATGAGACCTTTATGCAAAGCATGGCAAACAATAGAAGAAATCTGTCACGCATTTGTCACAGAACAACAGAAATCATTTGAAGCCTTTAATTGTTTCAATTTAACATGGTGTGTTCTGATATGTCTCCATGACAAGAAAGCCAATTACACTTATGCTGGAGCAGTATTGAGATTTACATGGAAATGCCCTCAGAACACTATTCCGTGTTAATCGTATTCACAGCGTGAGCTGATACGCATGAAAGCGTCTCGTCAGAAGAAAACAAACTTCTTCCTTGATTGGGTGCAGCACTTCTCATCATCCTCGGATATGACTAGGTTGCCACTTAAGCATAGCCCTGCGAGTCAGCTTGGTTAGTTAAGACACCACGCGGTAAACGACAGATTAAGGATGAGAGGCAATATCGTTTTCTCTCCTCCTTTTTCCAAGCTGTCCTTATGTCACTGCTGCAAAGTACCATATGGACAAGGAGGGAGAGGACGTTTTACAGAGAATGAAACATGGCTTGCGAACGCGACAGTCTTAATTGCTTTAATTGTTGTTTAAAATTGAGAGCCATGTAGGAGATCTTGAAATATGATAGAATAGATTATTGGTAATTATTAACTGCAGACAAAAAGAAAGAAAACCACTTTATCTCACTCAGCAAGAGAGAGAGAAATCTGTTCTGCCTGATGAGAACACATCAAGACAGCTGGTCCTCTCATTTAGTCTACCTGCCTCACGACAACCATAATTCTTTATTTGTATGCAAACTAGATGCATGCAACGTTGAGCATACACACCAATTTCAGAGGTAAATGCCCATTCTAAGAGCCACCCATCCGGTAACTTGGGGTGGATTAAGCGATATGTTTCTATAAGAGAGCATGGCATACGCTGGAAGTGGCTTCTACAGTGATTCATCTTGATAAATCAAGGACTGTGGTAGATATGCTCCTCAGGATGAAAGGGCCCATACACACACTCCGTACACACTACATACGCTGTGCCTTGGAAATGCAGGCCAAGTCTTGGAGGCCGCTGTTTGAAGGCGCGAAGGCTGTGTTTACATTCATTTACGGCAGCTGCCGTCTTAATCCCACACTGCTATTGCCAAGTGATGGAACACTTCAGACAAATTACCGAGGCCCGCAAAAGAAAACACAGCGAATGTGGGAAGAAAACAAGCGCCATCTGAGATGTTTCTGGTGACAGATTTGCATTGCTTTTAACCAGGGTTCTAACAGCACAGTCGACAAATCTCTGCTCTACAGCAGGTGACAACGAGCGAGCATTTTAAAAACACACGCAACAGCCATGTCTGCAACTTGCCTTTGTCAGATTAAATGCACTCTAAAAGGAGGAGAGGGTTTTCATAGAGCATATTGCCTTCTGTATTATAGAAAACAAAGAGAGCAGTCTGGTTGCTTGAGAGGGATTTAATTGTAAGTGCTGAATTCAAAGAGCAGATAAAGACACACAAACGGGCCAAACCCCACCTAGCTGAAAGCCCGAAACTGAGTGGGGGGAACAGGATCCGGGGCCAACTCATTTTCAGTGTTAAGAGCCAAAGCAACACAGCTAATCCGCATTGTCAAGCGGGGGCAAGCATGCAGACATGGATAAGACCACATCCTGAGCATCCGTGTCCCCAAGGCACAAGCACCCAGCTCTTGCTGGATGGGAAGTCATTTGTGAAGTCCTTTGCAACAGCCAGTCAAAGAGGTTAATTGAAAAATTCCTTAATGTCATTACAACAGAACTAGATTAACCCAGAGCTAATTCACTTTATTGTTCTGAAGAGAGGGGACTCAGCGCTGAACTCCAGAGCAAACGTGAAGCCCAGAATCAGGGGTGAGGTGTTGTTTTTAAAGGGCTATGCCAGTTTAATTAAGATAGGGAACATTATTCACTGCTCTGCATGGTTGGAAGGAGCAAAATGGTAGCGCCATATAAATGCAGCTCTGGTGCCTCTTAAATCAAGGTGGCTTTTATTTAGCCGGTTGAATATGTAAACATTTCCAAAGCTCTCCACGATCCTGCTGTGCAATGTTGCTTCTGATATTGTTTGTTGCTGCGTGCGCCACTGGGGTCGCCGACATAATCTGTTTGGTTCTTAACATTTACTCTCCCTGTTTTCCTCATCAGGAGGTGTTACTGAAGAGGGCGGCTGATCTCGTCGAAGCCCTGTATGGAATGCCCCACAACAATCAGGTCTGCATCCACACAGCTGTGTTCAGCATGCTTATACCTCCGCTAAGTAAGAAACAATTGAAAATTTACTGATAGTATCACCAAAGGGTATTTTCACCACTATATCTGGAGCAATGTAGGCTCCATGCATCGTGAGTTAACCATATAGCCATGAACCATGCATCAAAGAAAAAAAACGCGCAGCTATAAAAAAACCATAAATAACAAAACCTCTGCCTTCTCTGCGCTTCTCAGGAGATCATTCTGAAGAGGGCAGCTGACATCGCCGAGGCCCTGTACAGCGTTCCCCGCAACCACAACCAGATCCCCTCTCTCGCTAACACAGCCTCCCACGGCATGATGGGAGTCAACTCCTTCAGCAGCCAACTAGCAGTCAATGTGTCTGAGTCACAAGGGAATGACCAAGGTATGTGATTTAGGGTATGGCTCCATAACTTCTCAAAAGTGCGGTGCAAGGGCCTGTTGAGGGTCCTTGAGGGGATTTCAGAGGGCTTTGCAACAAAATGAGAAATAGTTAAATTTCACTCCTTTTTTTTTTCTTTCTTTAACTCATTAAAATAAAAAAAAAAATTGATAGAAATAATGTTTTTGAATAGTGGATTCACCAGCCCCATCCTCATAGGCAGTTAAAGGGTCCAATTAAGTGCCAACTTCTTTTCTTATTAAACTGACATCTGCAGTATGTGCCGATATAAAAGGGTTTGATTGCAGCAGTAAATTTCCATTGTCATTAACTGCAATCAGTGAACATCTCGCTGGTAAATACTACGCAGAAGGAAAAGAAATGAATGAACATCCCTTCTCCATCTTCCACCCATGTTATGCAGTGGGCTACAGCCGGAACACCAGCAGCGTGTCCCCCCGGGGCTACATCTCCAGCAGCACCCCACAGCAGTCGAGCTACAACACCGTCAGCAACAGCATGAATGGCTACGGCAATGCCGGTATGAACCTGGGAGTGCCAAGCTCCCCTGGGTTCCTCAACGGATCCTCTGCCAACTCCCCATATGGAAGTGAGTAGCTTGCCACTATTGCACGCTGTAGTAGCACTAAGCTGCTGCTGATTTAATTCCAGCTCCCACATTCGTTTTCACTTCTATGAATCATTTCTGACGGGGTTATAATATTATTGATGGCGATAATATATTACTGTTCATTCACGGGGGCTTGTTTAGTTTTAGTACTTCGGAGAACGCACACGTGCGGGGGCCAGGAATCGGAGGAATATTCGTTTTTTTTTTTTTACGTGTATTTCACAATATGCCACCTGTATTTGTTCAACCGGACAAGATGTTGATGGTAGGGGCCTGTGAGTACTGATCGTGTATCCCCCCTGGCAGTAATACTATCCCAGCCTTACCTTAACTGCCCTCTCCCTCTCGAGCACTACTCACAGCACGTTCTCACTCTCACCCTCCCTCCTTCCCTCTCCTTCCCTATCGTCTCCGCAGTTAAACAAAAGAGCGCCTTCGCCCCTGTGGTCCGACCCCAGGCCTCCCCACCCCCCTCCTGCACCAGCGCCAACGGCAACGGACTGCAAGGTGAGCCCCCCTCACCCCCTCATCCCTTCCCTACGGACTACTGGTCAGATACCGCTGCTCAGGCCTCTGTCCGGTTTGGTGAGGGATTAATCATTACAAATATATGCATTTTGACAGGCCAATTTACACCTTTCAGTTTACATTCAAACACACACACTCACACAGAGCATGTCTTCACACACACTCTCACACTCACACACACACATGCACAAGCGAGCGAGCACAGGATCGTCTGTGCAAACACTCACGCGAACGTACATCCTTGTTGCCCTTTCATACAAATGATCCCCTCTGATGTCGCAGGAAAAGACCTTCCCAGAATTGTTTTAGTAATTATGTTTATTAGGTTTTGTGCATGTGTCATGACCAACATGATTGCTTTGAAAACAAGCTTAGCCGTAGTGTGTGCCCCAAGATTAATAACATTGGGCTTAATGAAGTGGGAAATTAAAGTTCATCTTGCTACACGTTCATACTTATTAATACATGTTGTGCAGAAATTAATGAGCAATGCCTTGCCATCATCTGCGCTGGCAAACTTAAAAGCATTTCAACCATGACTCTACAAATATACTCAGAGCAATATAATAATATATCATCCCAGCACTTCACTAGTCGCCTAATTGTTAAAACGTGTGAAAATACTGAATATATAAACTCTCAGGGTGAGGTACAGTTGCTAATGATATCCTAAGCAGATGGTCTTGGTAAAATAACGGAAGCTACCTTTGATCTTGCCTAATCTCTCTTGGATAATGACGCAGAGGCGCAACTTTGGGGGAAACGTGGAAATGTAGGACTTAATGTGCTGCACGGTGCCGGTAGAGTCAAGGATAAAGAGATGAGGGGAGGGGAGAAGGCGATAGGGATGAATCCGAGCGAGGGAGCTGAGGAGGGAGCGTCTAGTACTGTAGCGTTGTGGCATTGTGGGAAGTGACCGTGTTGTTGCTCTGCCGTCACCACGGCCGCGTCTCCTGGGAGTCTGGGCCACTGTTTGCCATTACCCCAACGCCAGGAGAAATATCACACATAGCAGGACTGGCGTGCTGGGGGCTGAAATGTCAGAGCAGGAGGGAGGTTTTCAAACTCTCCCTGTTAGGAGGACGTGCAGCAGCAGGCTGGCGGACACGGCAAACACTCACAGGCACATACGCAAACAGGCACATTAAGGCATACATTCACGCACTCGTGCACCGTCAGATGGCTGCACACGCATCACACACACACACATGCATACACAAACACACATGCATGCACTGAATAACAACATTTTAATCAATTTTTTATCCATACCTGTTGTGGCCTAATCGACTAATGTCCGTTTTCTCTCTCTTTTTTTTTTGTCCCCAGCCATGTCTGGCCTGGTTGTCCCTCCAATGTAAATGCACTTTTGTCATCTCAAGCACCAGTCTACACACTACCACTTCACAGGACACCCCCCCCACCCAACCCTCCTCTCCCCCCCCACCCCTCTCTCTCAGCACACTGCAAACCGCTGGTGTAATGTATAGTCAACCGCTTGTTCTGTTTTTAAAGACGACGACGAAGAAGAAGAAGAAGAAAAAAAAAAAAAGAAAAGAAAGAAATGATTTAACTTTCTTTTCGATGACTTTTCACAACCTGCAGAAAAAAAAAGGATTTCATGAGGAACAATATTTTTTTTTTCTGTGGGATCTTCTTTTGTTTGTTTATTTTTTTTCCCCCCCTCCTCCTTCCTTCCTTCCCATTTTATCACCCTTGAAGAGGACACAGGATGATGAAGGGTTTATTTTATATACCTGTCGGGTTACGCGTCGACCTCGGATATGTCCAATCAACCACACGCTCAATACTGGAAGGGACTCTGTGGACTCACCATCTGGTTGTAAAGTAAAAACACTGATGTACAGTACATTTGCCAATGAACTTGTTTGCCTCAGAAATTGTTTTTTCTGTTTCAACTCTCTTTTAATAGATTCACAACAGTTGTGTGTCTTTATAATGTGACTTTTTGTATTTTTATGTGTGAGAAAAATACACAGGGGCCAAGACAGTTTGAATTTCAACTGGAAAAATATATGAGATATATAATGTAGAAAAATTGATCATAAAAGTACAACAAATACGAGTAAAAACGGGGCGGGGCTGGGTGGGTAAGGTTGTATCATGTTTCATTCCTGCATTTTAACTTAAATTTTGTAATTTATTGTAGCTAGAAATCATCTTCAAAAGTTAAAAAAAAAAATCCTCTTTGATTCAACAAGCACACTGATGTGTACAAAACACTGCTCTGTTGATGAATATGATGTACTTCCATGTCTAGAGCTTCCTTTTAAGCAAGTGTGTTTTGCCATGTTTTTTCAACTTTTTTGCTAGCACTGTATATTAATGCATTCCTAGGCTACTGTGAAGTCTGTTTCTTGTTGATGAGGAGCAGTCTCCCCCTTCTAGCTCCAACTCCCTTATGTGTTTTATATGTGGTTAAAAATTGTAGACTATTGTGATATTGCCAAACTTGTGCTAAATATTTATACATCTGTCTTTTTCATGTTCTTTTAGATCGACGAAAAAACGTTTAAAAAAACAAAAACAAAACAAAATTAAAATCCATCGAGAATGTAGGAGTATAGTAGTTCATTGTCATATTTCTGTTCAAACACACACTTGCGCTCACTGAGGGAAATTTTGTAACATATCAACTATAAATAATGTATTTATCTCTGAAATTTTGTATATTGCTTTTCATTATGTATGTATTAATCGTCATGCCCTTAATATAGTGATGCAGCACAGATAATTCAGCCAAGAACTGTTGCCTTCATTTGCTTTCTTTTTGTATTTGATGAAATGCAATGTGCATATATTTCATGTGTATCCTCAAAAATTTGTGTTACTCCGTCAAGACTCTCTGTCCATTTTTTAAAGGGGAAGTCAAACTTCATTGTTTATTTTTATATTGATTTTAAATTATCTATACAGACCATTTTGGAGAAAACTTTGTTGGTTGTATTGTCAAATAAATTGTTTGTGACCCATATGATAGTTGTTAAGATCCAATAGAGACTAATGTGCATGAGGGACAACCTTGGAGATAAAAAAAACACTCCATTTGTGGTTGTATTTTTTTCTGTTTTGTAGAATGTATAGAAGTCATTTTTACTCACCACTTATGACTCTGCCACATAGCTTACATGTGTTTACAGGGAAGAAAAATTTAAAAATGTCAACATTTGGAATGGAAACAGAAATGAATAAGTGATGTTTTATTAAAATTTTCAGTAAAAACACAAATAGCACCTCAACTGTGGACTTCTTCAGCTCTAAGTACAGTTTGGCTGGCAGACAAACTGACAATCAGGAACAAGAAAAAGACAGTAGAGAACTTCTGAGGACAAACCTGTGATTCGTCTGTAAGATGTAGTGTTTAGACATTGCTATAGAAGATTAATTGTTTGAAACCTGTGGAAAAGTGTAACATCCATAAAAGATGAAAACTGCTCTTTACTCATATTCTTTCAGCAAAGCACTCTGACATTGTGACATATTCCTACTGGTCTTTGTATCAGCATATCCTGCATCTGTGGTGCTTCAAAGGTTCATTGTAGTCATTCATAAACAGTGCAAGCTTTTTATTCAAAGCACCCCAAATGGGGCTCATTCAAATCCCTCATTTCATTGCATTAAGCCACCTAGTTAATAAAGAATCAATACATTGAAAGAGCAAGGTTATCCTTTGTCTATAAGGGCTGGTATCGTTTTGAACCTCTTATAGTTTGAGTGCTGAAAGGGGGGCCACGGTGAAATCTATACTCATCAAGTGGGTCAAACAGAAGGATAGAAGTGTTTGAGGGAAGAATAGTGGTTCTCCTTAAAAACAACTGAGCATCTTATCTGGCATCCTGAGTGGTCGCGGAGAGCAGGTCACAAAATGTCAATTTCTCATCAAGGCAACATTGTCCGAGGCCACCCTCTGCCTTTAATGCACAATTAAACGACAGCAACCTGAGTGGCAATCAGCATATCACCAGCTTATTATGTCAAGCGGCATGCGCGAGATCTGGCGGCGCGCGAGATAGTCCAGGAGCTGCTGATAGCGCAAAGGACAGATACACTCCAAAGAGCTATTTAATTTTCAGCTGCCTCGTGCTTCAAATCATTCCCTCGATAATCCAGCGCGTCTGATAACAATAGCCACACATCTGCTTCCTGACGTTGCATTATCTGTTTCAGATACGCAGGTTTGGATGTATTGTCTTGCTCGCTGCCGTCTCTATTGAAAGAATGTCGCGCAAACTGTACTTTTTATTTATAAAGGAAAAAACAACAACAACAACGACGGAGCATCAGCGGAAGGAAGGAAGGAAAAAAAAAAAATCTAAAGGGGAAAAGGACAATCAAAAAAAAACAACAACAAAAAAGACAAGTTGGCTCAGTTGTTGCCCGTTTAAAGGGCTCTGAAGCCTCGCAGGCAGGCTGGAGGTACAGTAATATTGTCTCAGCAGGTTTGTCTGTACCCAACAACCAGCCACTAGCTCTGCCACACCATTCAATCATCGTGAGAGCCTCTTTTATTGGAGAACTCTAATGGCCACCCTCCACCATGATCTTAATGTGTGCATTAAATATTTATAAATCCTGGGTCAATAATGCCCCATAACCAGAGCCTGACAGACCCCCACCATACCATGTGGCTGCCTCGCCTCTCAAACACAGGCAAAGGTCACGGGGTCACGCAATCAAAAGAGAGCGAGGCTCACCACATCCATATGTTGCCACTCTTATCAAGACTTTCCTCAGTACTGGTTATCTGTCAAAGGAAAGAAATATTGAAAGCAATATCGATCTTAACTAGCCTTGTGTTGCCGTGGGCCACTCTTCAAACATCTGCTCGTGCATTGTTATATTTCAAAAAAAAAAAAAAAAAAAACCTCCTCTCAATAATATAAGCCTGAGCGGTAATATTGAACATCTCTGTGTGACGCAGGCTGCCTGAGCATGACTAATAGCCGCGTTATTAACAAGCATCGCTGGAGATTTTTAAAAGTTGATATATACGTACGGAATATTTCTTCATTAGTGTCGAGTTAATTGCGCCGCCTGGCATCTACATCGGTGACTCAGTTTTTCTTTTTCTTTCTTTTTTTTTTTTTCCTTAACGTGACCATATCCAAGCTGCGCTCCTGTGCTGTTCAGGTGAAAGATTGTGCTCCGGTGATAGCACACACAAAAGAGCGGCCGGACAATGAGCCAGTCAATGGAGAGCTCCAGTTGAAAGAGCCACAATGGCCGTGCATGCTGGGAATTGGGCTGGATGATATAAAGGAATGAAACCTTCATTGAGGCCATGGAGGACAAGCATTCAGAAAAGAGGTTTTGTTTGCTTCTTTATCAATCTGCCGTTTCCCATGAGAAAAAACAATTCAAACTGACCTTAAAAAGAGAATATTACCTTACGCATCCGCTCCCTATGTAACTCTTATTGAGAGGCTTATACGTTCACTTTTAATGGCATTATCACGTGTTGATGCGATAGTACTTTTGTGCCAACGCGGGGGTACAGTATCGAGACGGGCCGAGAAAACGGAAAAAAAAAGGTGGACGGCAGTTTATCTTCTCCGCAGGATGGCCAGTGCTGAGAAGTACTTTTTAAGGATTTGCTCTTTGGACAGACAGGATTTGTGTAACCGCTGAGTGATGTGTTTTGCGCAAGGAGAAAAAAAAAAAAAAGTGGCTGCAACTCTCGTGAAGTTTACACACGAGTAGGATATTGCTTCTGTGACTCATAAAAAAAAAACTGCACAACTGGAGATCAGAACTTTGAGACGAAGCAAAACAGGGAGTCTGACCTTTTTTTTGAACAATTCAACATTTGAATCAAAACGGGGAATCTGACCCCTTTTTTTTTTTTTTTTAACAGTCCCACATTAGCACAGTCTCCTGTCTGTGAATCTGTACATCAGATAAGACGCTGCTCCCCTGCTACTGTACACTGGGAGTCAGCTTTGGCAAGAAAAACTCTAGATCCTCGCAAAGATTTCCACTTCACTCACTGCAGTCAAGAAGGATGAGCAAAGTATCCCAGTGCTTCAAAATCCATTAAACTTGTATTTGGGTGTCATTTGATACTTCATCAATGTTTCAGTGCATTTCAAACCCACAAATGCAGGATTTACCCCTGGTAGAAATACAGTATTCACCATATTTTGCTTCCATGAACTTCACTTAGCCCAAAAAAATTACACTGTAAAGATTGCCTGGTCAGGGAGTGCTAGGCTACAGTGATAAAATAATATCACTTGAACTGTATTTTCTGCCACAGTCTCCACCACATAGAGCTCCTTTCATAGTACTCCTCTGTAGTGCTTTGTCCAGTAGTTCTGGATATGATATCATCTATTAATAATGTATTGGCAATGGATTACATAAAAAGGGAGCAGAAATAACATCCAATATTCATGCCCCCTGAGCTTGACTGTGTCCAATCCGTTTGGCCCATAAAACCTTAGCCCCATTTCCATATCCGCTGTGGGTCACAACAGGTCTGCCGCACAAAGGCTCACAGAACAGCTCAACTCAGGAAAAGGGCAGTAAAAATCGGGTGGATTTCTGAACCCTTATGAAACAGCCCCCCTTCGGAAAAAAAAGTGAAAAAGCCCTTTTCCGATTTCAGCGCCTGTGAAAAACCTGGTACTGTATTTCCCTCTTTAATTGTGCCACTTGAGAAATTGACGTGCCTCTGAAACATGGCATGAATCTCACAGTTATTGCAGTCCCCTTGGCAGGGAATGTTGATACAACATCTGCATGCTATAGAAAGTAATGGAAGTAGCAGAGGTGGCAGCTGCAACTCTACAGGAAGTGTGCCATTTTCAGGCAGCGCTGCTGTGAGAACCACTAACTGCCAGCCTGGTCTTGCAGGCAGCTCTGATTGCCAGGACACTATGACAAACACGCAGGGGCTGGGAGTGTTGCATCCTGGGGGATGACAGCTTCTGTTTGATTGTCAATAAGGCTCATTAGCAGAAAAAATGGAGAATGCGAAAAGAGATTAAATGGCTTGAGACAGGGTCCCCCTCATGTTTCATTACAGAGGATTTATCAGAGCCTTTATTTCATCAATTCTACAAAAAATAAAAAATAAATCACTTACTGCTTCTTCCCCCCCCCAAAAAAGCGAGCAACCAAATTAACATTTTTAAAAAATTCAACACACTTCAGATATTGTAAAAAAGTGAGAAACTGTTTCAGCAAAACGGACCCGACAAACGCTAATCAAGCCCTTTAAACATCGTCCACACCTTACATAAAGCGCTTTCCTCCTGCTCCGAGCGACTCTCATCTTAAGAACAGTGGCGGATGTTTCCCTCCATCTTAGGGAGGAACGGCCAACAAAGCAGCGTGTAAGGGCCTTTCCCTGAAGAGTCCTTGTCACGCCGCGCCAAACCTCTGTGATTATCGTTGTTTTTGCAGAGAGTGTCCATGCCTGCCAATACCGCTGTTCCATAAATGAATTTGGCCCCTCGTCAACGAATTACCTAACACGCAGAACTGTGTATGTGTCACATCCAATTCCAACTCACCGGCTTTGGTGGTGTGTGTCAGCTGGAGGACTTAATCATCAATCGTCAATCATAATAAGCGAAGCACATTGATAGGGATTCTTTTTTTTTTTTTTTTTTCTCCCTTCTTTTTCTCCTACACAGTTAAATAAAGTGTAAAGGGAGAAGTTAAAACTGACCTTGTTAAATTGGGACCACAATTTATATTCCTAATTTAGTGTATGGATTAATTAGACTTGGCAAGTGTGTGTATCAGTTTCCATGTGGCAGAGCTTAGGAGCTATATCCACTTGATCAAATCATTGCTCACTTTCACAAGGAAACTCTGGAATGATATCTATCAGTCTTATCTTGATGTTTTTACTCTGAACAGGCTTTGCATATTTTTAGCTGCATACTTTTAATTAATACTTAATTGGACAGTTTATAAAAAGGACTTTTCCAGCATTAGTCGCTAATCAATAACCCCCATCTCACATCATACAAAATTAATCACTATGACCTGTTATCAGGCCTTAATGCAACCACACACACTCACACACACACACAGACACACACACACATACACATGTTACATGCTAACTGGCAAAGCATGCATTTTGCACAAGGCAGAGGAATCTGGCTCATATTTTCCCTCTCCCTGATCCAATGCACTCCTCTCCCCCGTCATATAGATCGGAGTCTGCAGGGGCCAGAGGCGCTGACAGAGCCCAGATGCTCCCAGTCTGTCTGGGGGACTGGGGAGACTGGTGCCATGGGGTCCTGGAGCCTCTGAAGTGCCGCCCCTCCGTCAACATGACCAAGGCTAGACCTGCACTTTCTCCAGGCTGAGACACTCTCCTTACCACGCTGACAACCGCACTACATAGTCACAGATTGATACATGCAGCGATACACACTCGCAGGCACCCGCTCTCACGTAATGTATGGCCGTTCAT